TCTGAGAGGACCTTTCGTTCTCTTAGCATTTTTTATATTGTAGTAAAATATACACAACATAAAACTTACCATTTCTAGGTGTACAGTTCAGTGGCACTAAGTACATTCACACTGTCATGCAACCATCCACAGAACTCTTTTCATCTAGCAAAACTGAAACTCTGTACTCATGAAACACTAACTCCTCATTCCCCATCCCACCAGCCCCTGGCGACCTTCATGCTGCTTTCTGTCTCTATGAATTTGGGTACCCCACGTACTTCATTTAAATGGAATCGTACAGTGTTTGTTCTTTTGTATCCGGCTTATTTCACTTGGTATAATGTCTTCAAGGTTCATCGTGTTGTAGCATGTGTCAGATAGTCTTTCCTTTTTAAGGTTAAATACTATTTCATTGTATGTACATACCGCATTTTATTTATCCATTCATCTGTTGATGGATGCTTGAGTTTCTTTAACCTTTCGGTTGCGAATAATGCAGCTATGAGCTTGGGTGTACAACTACCTGTTTGAGTCTCTGCTTTCTATTCTTTTGAATACCCAGAAGTAGAATTGCTGGATCATATGGTAATATTATGTTTGAAATTTTGTGGAACTGCCTTAGCATTTTTATCTGCTTTCTCTAATTAGGAATGTGCAGTTAGAACTTGCAGGAGGGGCGGGGTGAGGAATCACTATTATTTTGGATAGTGGTGATTTACATCCTTTCAAAGGTTACATTTCAAAGCTAGAACATGTCTGTCACCTTCTGGCCCATATCTGACTGTTGTCCTGTGATAATGCTGCTGCTGCTGCTGATAGTGATTAGGGTGATAGCTAAAATCCATTGAGTGCTTACTTTGTCCCAAGCACGGTTCTAAACACTATTGTGTCTTTTAAATCATTTTATCTTCACAATTATTCTCTGAAGGTTATTGTCTCAATTTTATAGATGAAGAAACTGAGTCACCGGCAAGCAGAACCATGAAACAATGCTGGGACAGATTAAGACCATTTAGTTCTATATTTCCGTTCTTAAACGAGGGACAGGAGGCCGGAGAGGAAATGGCCAAAGTCACAACGTTGCATTATGACTGAGTTGGGGTAAACTTCGCAGGCTTCCAGGCATCTGGAATTCCTGGCCCTGTGCTCTTGCCGCCTCTAAGAGAGGATTCCATTCATTCATTTTGTTTATCCTGTTGACCCAGGTGAAACCTCATCTGAGAGGCTGCCGTGCCACAGCCATATCCAGCTGGATATTCCTGGTCCTCCTCCTGATAATTGTTGGGGCAGGACTTAGCTGAAATATGACGGGAGAGGATTACGGGTTTGGCTCTAGGATTTTGTGAAAACACATGGAAGTAGCACATTAATATTAGTCAAGGATTGAATGGGCCTTTTTAAGAAGCTGAGATAAATTTTGGCAAAATCAGGTTGCCTTGAGAAGCACTGACTTGACTGTGAGGGAGTCAAAAAAAATTATGATCTTTCTTTCTTGCTAAGTTTATTTAAATAGTAAAAATCTAGAGTCTGCATGTCCTACAAAGTTGCACCCCTGAAGTTATGAGTTTGGCCGTACAGATGGTGGGTCTGTGTTTTTCATTATGTTCCCATACTCGTTAGGTTTTGCAGTTAGTCCGTGTTACACGTTTCTCTTGTGTTTTTCTTGAACTTCATGAACTCTGGCATTTCATTTTGGGGATGTATATCCAAGGGGAAAGCAGCCTTCCTTTGATCTTCCTTAGGACCCCATTATGTTTAACCTAAGAAAGATTAGGGAGTTGCCATTCAACGCTGAACAAACACAAAACTCAGCTGCAAAGATGGTGGGTGCTTAATCTATTTACAACATCGACTCCATTATGAACTAATTCTCCATCAAGCCAGACTTTGAAAAGCATTCTTCCAAATGGAATTCCCATCTGCCTTGGGAGGCTGCATGCATATGGTCCAGAGTACTGAATGCATGGGCCACACAAAGAAACCTATTTAGCTTGAAATATTTAAACTGTAGAGTTTTTAAACTTTGAAATCATTGTCGATGTTGGTTCCCCATATGGTAGTCAAGTTGTACTTTCTCTGAACTGAACAGACATTTCTGGAAAGCACCCTCACCTTCTCGTTGTTGTAATAACATCTGCTGAACAGTGGTGAAACAAGTCGGCTCCAGTCTTTGGACAAACAATCCTTGAGCCGGGGTGAGCTCGGAGGGACACAGAGCTACCACTTGGCCCGCGCCTGGAAAACCTGACTGTGCAGCTCCCCTCTGCTCCTTTTTCAAAATGGGTGTCAGAACTCTGCCCACCTTTTAAATAGCTCTTGAAAGCAACATGCAGGTCTAATTGTGACATTTTTTTTTTCTAGTCTCAGTATGAGAAAGGAAGAACAAAACAAAATCAAGTATTAGCCTGTCAGGATTTTCGGTTCCCTGTCACCCTCAAGACATTGATGGAGATTTATTTTCCTAATGAAGGCTCCAGTGTTAATGTGGCACTTGCTAGAATCGGTTAGGACTCAGTGTTATTTAATTCGCAGTGAAGCGACAATCTGACTGGCCTGTGATTAGTTCCAGCTTTTAGCTATCATTTATAGGTCACCAGGCGGCTAACAACCTCAAATGAGGGACCATTATCTTTTGACAAGATGGAGCTTTTTTCTGGGGGGATGGGAGGAGAGGGGGGAACACTACCCAGAAAGTTCAGCTCAATACTCTCTTTGGGAATTAGTTCATTCCTAATAGAGCTTTGCTGCCATTTTCTCAAAGGAACTACACTAGCAGATTCCAGTTAGGTATGAAGGAAAGGAGGAAAAGACTTTCCTCATAGCCATTCATTTTTCTGCTCAGCAATCATAACTTCAGTGAGGCACTTGGGAGAGTGTCCTAGTGGGTCCTGGAAAGAAGGCTAATACTCAGACTACACATACTGGAATGCTGTTCTCATTTTTTTAATAGCCATGTTTCATTATGATGGGGTAAAACATCTGCTCTGATTGGTTGGTGCCAAGGCCATACTGATTGTTAAATATTCCAAATGACAACTTTGCCCTTTTGTGGAGCCTACTTTTTTTCTCCAAGAAAAGAGCCATTTTAAGTAAAACTGTCTTCCCTTCATCATTAGAGTGTAAATTGAAAAAAAGCTGTAGGCCTCCTGTTAATTATAAGAAAGATGATGTGATATTGTTAGAAAGCAGTAGTTTGGGTGCAGGTACAAATTGATTTAAAAAGGTTAGAGGGTTATGTGCAGTTGGGGGCCTAGCCTGTGAATAGCTGGCTGCTCATAGTGAGAGCCATGATGATACCTCGCCAACCCTGGAACAGCGGAGGGCCCATTGATTCCCAAACTGGGGCAGCCTGAAACCACTGGAACAATGCAAGTGTCCCTGTTACCACTCACACATATCAGCCTTTACAATAGTGCCTGGCAGGGAAAGAACTGACATCTGTTCCTACCTCCTGAACTTGGGCACACTCCCCTGCCTTCTCTCTGGGTCTTGACAAGGTAGACTATCTTACATCTTGCTTTTTTCCTATCTAGTAAGTCTTAGAAGGAAAAGACCCTGTCCTTAGTTCTACCTTTGGAACTAAAACATCAGACTTTAACCAGCCTGATGCAACCCCTAAAGCTTTCATGTATTGAGTACTTGCCAGGCATCAGATATTGTGAAGGTACTTTACATACGTGATTCCATTCAGCCCTCCCCCCAATCCAATAAGGGAGGTGGTTTATTGTTCCCAAGTTGTGGATAAATCTGAAGCATGACCCAGGTTGCAAATCCAGAACTCTGCTCCCTGGGGTGCAGATTTTACAGGTGTTACCTCTGCCCTTAAGGGGCTATCAGGTGTGAAAATGAGGCACACCTACATAGCTACAAGGTAAAACAAAGGATAGCAATGTTTGTCAAACTTGAGCTCTTAGTTTTATAGGAAAAAATTGTATGAACGTCCAACATTAACTTACATTTAAAAATTATCTAAATACACACAAATGTAAACCTTGCATAAACTTATACTACTAATATTTTGGTGCATTTCCTTATAGACACATATGCATTGGGGTTTTTATTTTATATAGATTTGTATTACGCTTTTCATTTCCTATACACCAGCATTTTCCTATGTCAGTAACAATATTTTAAAAATTGATATTTTTTTATCTTGTTCCAATATATGGGATTTTACCATATAGTCAACCATTCCCCTATATTTGGGCATTTAGGTTGTTTCTGATTTGTGCCATTATAATGTAACATACATTTCTGTACGTGAACTTTTGGTTGCCTTACTGATGATTTCCTTGGAGTCAATACTCAGGATTGGAATTACTGGGTTAAACGGCACAAACATTTTTAAGGCTTTTAACGTATTTCTTCAGAAAGGTTGTACTAATATATAAACTTCTAGGGTTAAAGGATCACTTTGGGGCCCAAAAAGTATCAAGGAGAAAATGGTATTTGAACCAGAACTTCAAGGGCAGGCAGCGGTTCTCCCAGTGCAGGTGGGTGAAGGCATTTCCAGTGGGAGATGACCTGCACAGACTCAGGGAGGAAAATACAAGGTGCTTGGGGAATGGCGAGCATTCTGATTTAGCTAGTGCTAAATGTACTGAGCACACTTTGAACACTAGGATTTTTGACAGAACATTGAAGGGATTAAAATGTTCAAAATATGAAACAACTCAGCAATAATACCAAGACAGTTACCGCTGCAGTATAACATTGTCTAAATGTCCAAAAGCATCACCATTCTCACACCATTTCATCTTCCCCTTGGTTCTGTGTTGCTCTTTGAATCAAATGGTTTACTGATCTCACCATGGTCTGATATAGTAACAGGAAAATATTCTCACATGTTCTAGAAGACATGCTGACTGTCTTGGTGTTGGCCTGGAGCCACCCTGGGTTGCTGCTGTCACTTATGACTTGACCATCTCAGCTCCATGCTCCCCTTGACAGCCCTCCCACTGGTGGTATTGTATTGTAGTTGAAAGAAATTAAGAAAGAAATAACTCAGACTGCCTGGGTTCAAATCCCAGCTCTACCATTTATTGGTTGTGTGGCACTGGTAAGTTACTTAGCCTCTTTCTGCCTTAACGTCTTCAACTGTAAAATAGGGTTAAGAATGTTACCTTTATAGGGTTACCTTGAGGATTAAACAAGTTAATAGACATAAAGCACTTAAAACAATGCTGCACATAGAATAAGCACTTTTAATGAGTGTTAGCTTTTACTATTCATTATCTTAGCCTCAGTTTGACCTATTGGCCAAAATTTGGCATCACACCTATAAAGGGTTTATGGCCAAGTGGTATACCATGACATTTCATCCACTGAGATCCAGAGGACTAGAAATTGCCTCCTTCCTAACTCAGCCCACAGCTAAAACAAACAGCTATGTGTTAAAGGTGAAATATTTTTATTTGAATTTATCATGGAAGTTGAATAGAATCTCATGACATTTATCCATATAAAATATCATAACAATGGTTTCAGGCATAAATAAGTGACTCTAACTATTCTGTTTTCATAATGCACAGTCAGTCCTTTTCGTTGATTACAAGTAAAAAGTATGTGAAGTTAAGATGCAGAAATTTTCAAATTCAATTTCAGCAATTTCCAAAAATTGAATTATAGAACAACAGAATCAAGGACACATTAAAAAAAAAGTCAATATTTAAATGGAACCAGCCACCTTGAAAAATAGTCCGAAAAACATGGTAAAAATTTTAATACTTCAAAAATTTTAATACTTCAAAAGGTAACAAGATTAAAATGTTGCTGGTTGGCCTGACTTTCCAGGACCTAGACCCTCTGGGAACTGCTGGGACTCAGTGAAATATTGTAACCTGCCCCTGGAATGTAGTCTCAGACACAAAGAAAATCACTTTTGATTTTGGTCCATAAACAGAGACAGGATTCTCTCGTTGCTGGATGACTCTTGAAAAGAAGCCTTTGCTTTCATTATGCATTTGGCCTCACAATCTTCATTGACAAATAGTTCTGAAAAGGAAGCAGGAACAGTGTTAAAAAAATTATATATGTATATAAATATAAATATATATAAATATATATATATATATAAATATATATATATATATGTATATTTAAGTTAGGGTTTCTCGACCTTGGCACTATTGACATTTAGCACTAGATGATTCTTGTTGAGGGGCTGTGCTGTACATTGTAGGATGTTTAGCAGCATCCCTGGCTTCTCCCCTACCCACTAGATGCCAGTAGTGCCCGCCCCCAACTATGACATCCAAAATGTCTCCAGATATTGCCAAATGCCCTCTGGGGAGCAAAATTTCCCCCAGTTGAGAAGCACTGGTTTAAATCAATAAAATTTAAGTCAAGAAAAAGAAATAATTATGAAGAATTTTTTTAAATGGGTAAGACAGATTGGACTAACTACAACTCAAAAATAATGTCCATGCACTCATAGTTAACAATCCAAAAGTATTATACTGAGGAAAACAAAGACATAAAATCACTGCTATTATGGTTGTGTGATTGTTACTCAACACAAACTAATCTACATTGTTATTAATATGAATTGAAGTAAGAGTATTTGAATGCCTGGACTTTCCCTTCTCTACTTGGCAAACTGGTCTTAAATGCCCCCTCCTTGTTGAAACCATCCTCAGCAACTGACTCTCACGGTCATTTGTTCATGTCTCTATAACAGCTTGCTGCTTATAGTAATTCACTTGTTCATATATCTGTTTGTCCCTGGGCTATGAACTGCTTGTGGGCAGAAGTCATGCCTTGGTCATGTCTACACCCCAATTCCTAGCCTACAGTGGATGCTCATAAATTCCTTGAGTGGAGAAACTAAGGTACTACTTGTAGGCACACCGGCTAACTTCCCATCTGGACTTCCATTTATGATTGCGGTGATGAAGGGAAATTTAAGGGGGCGGTTATATGACGTTGGCCTTAAAGAATAAATAAGATGTTGATAGACAAAACATGGGTGAAGGAATAGCACTGGCAAAGACATTCTGGCAGGTAAGGGTAATACTTGTTTTGGGGAGGGGGGGCAGCTATCTACTCTGGGTGGAGTTCAGGGTTTGTGTAGCCCTATAAGGACCCCAAGTTGGGGGGGGGTCTGTGAATTCTTGGCAAGGAGTCTGAAGGTAGGAAGACGAGTCGGAAATGCTTGTTATGGTCCAGACATACGTTGCTAAAGGCCTGAGAGATTTCTCCTCGAATTCCTGAAACCAAAGTTGTTTTCAGGCCATAAAGTTCTGCCCGAAATTCCTGAAACCCTAAGAATGCAATTCTAACCACAGCACACATTACTTTAAGTTTGCCAAAGGCCGAAGGGTTGTGGCACCACAACTGCTAAGTGAGTCATTCTTTTAAATGGCAACCAAGGCAAGTACCAAGTTGGATGACCAACCCCAATTCACACACACACACAAAGCCAAGCCAAGAAGCCCAGGACTCGCACCGGCAAGGAGTACAGCAGCACGGCCAAGAAGAGCAGCAGGATCAGCAGGATCAGCAGGCCGATGATGACCCACTTAAACCGGCGCCACACGATGAACTTCATGGTCTTACATGGGTTGGTGAACCAGAGGAAGGAGGTTTCTGGGCGGCTGCATTGCAAAGAAATGGTTTTTACCTACACAACTCAGGAGGGACAGATATTTTACCTCTGAGCATAACACAGTTTAAAGAATAAGTAATAACATTTATAAAGTCAAGATAAGATGTTATTCCCCTTAGTTGGCTGAGAAAGATTCCCGAAACTTTTATAGCTTCCTAAGGAAGATGCCGAAGGCACGCTGGACTTTGGTTTCACGGGAAAGGAGAATGGGTAAAACAAAGCCAGATCATCAACCGCTCCATCCCCACCCCCACCCTCCAACTATTAAGTACAAAATTAGAAGGACAACAGCTAATACATTCCATTAAGCCAAGTTGAAGGGAGGCTTTTAGACTGCAGGTGTTTGGGGATCAGACAACGCTGAGAACAAAGAGGGCTCTCACTTTGGTAGGTCCAGCTTGGGGTTCATGTTGGGTTCATCCCGTCCCTTCCCGGCTGGCCTCTCGTCGGCCTCCTTCTCATTGAGGACTTCCAACGTCATCTCCACTTTCCCCTTCAGTAAAGCAGAACAGGTTAAACACATGACATCACGTTTCATAAATATTTTCGCTTCAACCCAAGGAGTATTCCCCAAGCAATAATTTTTATTCTTGTAAAACAATCCTTAGATTGTCTTAAATTTTCCTCTTGAGATTTCATCACATTTCCTCTTCCATGTGTTTCTGAACTGACTCCTTGTGGGAAAGTGAGAGGACAAATTGCTTTCCCTCCTCCCTGCTCCCTGCTTTTCATTTTCTGTGTCCCCGTCATTCTAACTTTCTCACATCCATCTCCTTGCCTTCTCACACACCTTCTTTTGTAACCCTGGACCCAGATTAGCCTGAATACTGTTAATAACAATATTTAACATTTATTGAGCATTAACTGTAGGCTCCAAGAGAGATTACATGCTTCATGCTTACCATGGACCCCCATGGTGCAGAGCAATGCTGGCATTTAGTGGGTACTTGATGTACACTAGCTGAATAAATGAATGAATGAGTGAATGAATGAATGCTGCCTCCCTGTTCACAGGTTCCTGAGTGACGTGCTGCTTATGCCTTCTACATGGATAATCTTGTGTAATGTTCATGGCAACTCTATAAAGCAGATACTGCAACTATCCTCATGTGAACGTGAGGACACTGAGACTGAAAGAGGTCTAGAAACTTTCCCTCTTGTATAAATAGCCAGGCTTAACTAAGGTGGTAACAGGCTTTCTAGAACCCTGGAAAGCTGACCAGGTCACCAACGATTTGAGAACCCCGCCCCTGACGCTCATTTAAATGGTAGAGCCCAGGTGACTCCGGTGCGGTCAGACAAAGCTGGGTATCTGACGCTGGCAAGGTACTCCATCTCTCTGAGCCTGTCTTTTGAATCTATAAAATGGGGGTAATGTCTACTTGATGGGGTTGTCAGCAGCACTAAGTGAGATTATGTGTAAACTCATCTATAGTGGCAGAAAGCAGATAAGTGACTTCCTGGGCCAGCATGGGAGGCACGATGGACTGCAAAGGGCACAAGGAAATGTTTAGGGTAACGGGAATGTTCTGGATCTTGACTATGGTGGTTCCATAAGCGTATACATCTGTCAAAACTCATCAAACTGTGCACTCTAAATGGGTGCAGTTTATTTACATAAATTATACCTTAAAATTGTTTTAAATAAACAAGATTATGAATGTAAGGTATTTAGCATGTTGCCTGGTTCATAATCAGTGATGTAAAATGTAAACCATTATTAAAAATTCATAACGAATTAGGAAGTCTTTTGTGACATGGCATGATGACCTGCACAGTTGCTTCGATATCAAAATATATTTTGAGTTCTCCAAACTTGCTTTTAAGTTATGGCTTTCTTGTTCAATGGATGTCAGCCATTACCCCCTGCTGCCGCCATCTTTTTTTTTTTTTTTAATGAGAACAGCTCAAATTTGAAGTTTCCTCTTCTGTACTGAATTGTATTGGTAGCTCAACATAAATTAGCCTTCCTGAGGAAGAAGGGCTCTAAAGAAATACAGTGCAAACACTCTGGCTCCCAGTTTTTCAACAATTCAAATCTGCCCACCTTCCATTCAACCCCAAGCATATGTTCTGAGCATCTGCCACCTTCTCTTGTGATCCCTGGTACAAACCATTCCCATAACCTAAAGTCCTACATCTTTAATACATCCTTGTCTTATCTGGAATAAATCTATTGATAAAAGGCAAAACCCAAATGATAAAAGGCCTAAACAACCCCCAACCAGAAAATGCTCATACAGCCATCACACGGGAGCCATCTTTATCTGCGTAGCATGGCCACCATCCTCTCATGGACTTCTGTTCAAAGAGTGAGGCGGTTTTCACTTTAAGGGGGTTCATGGCTTTGAGATCCGGAATCATGTCCAAGTTGCATTTCTCTGATGATTTTGCTGGAATGATGGTGTGATGCAAATCAAGCTCCAGGAAACCTAGCCAAGTAAACATTAAACTCCAATAAGCTTCAAGTGGATCAGCTGTTGTTTACAAGGGAACAGAATGTTCCCGTCAGAAGAGAGTCAGACAGTGATTTTGAACAGGTGATGGGTGAGTTAGACAAAAGGACCCTGGTAGACATTTAAAATTCTTTCCAGATAGGATGGAAAGTGGCAGAAGAAATATCTGTCCACCACTCCGCATCTCACAGAGGACTACATGTTTTATTTCTCAAAGACAGGAGCATAAACAGAGTTCTTCTACAAGCTCAAAATAACTAAACATCTATAGACAAAATTTCCACTGAACCTGGATTTGAAATGTGCTCATATTAGCTCTGAGCTGCCCTGAACACAGTCATTTGGCTTTGGGTAAAGACACCTGGTACTTGGAACATGGGACACTCCATGAAACTGTCATGTTCAAGTCTCTCCTAGTGTATCCTCAGAAACAGGAGCCTGAGAAGGAACATAACAACTCAATAGAAAATTCTCATCAGGAACTAGGAAGTCCACATTAGGGTGCCTGGAGAAGCACATTTTCTCTTCCATGATGTGAGGCATTAACTCTTTAGTAGCACTTTGACTATCTTTTGGGCTTGGGAACTCTTGTGAGTCCTTTCCTTAAGGAAATGGTATATGTCATATGGGGTCAAGTCTATGAACCACTGGGACAAGAGTTGGTCTTCAGGGGCCGGCTGAGTGGCGCGTTGGTTAGCAGCTGGCTTGGGACGCCAGCTCTAAGCAGCAGGGCCCCAGTTCAGATCCCACATGAGGGCCAGTGACACTACCCTCTACAGCTAAGATGGTGAACAACAGCTTGACCTGGAGCTGGGCTGCTGTGAGTCGCCAGTGACAGCGTAGGCTGCAGCCCCTGTTGCAGTGGGCTGCCATAAGCTACCGTGTGTGGCCGGCAGCCAGCGTGAGTGGCCAGCAGCCGGTGTGAGCTACCAAGAGCTGCTGTGAGTGGCCCTCAATGGCTGGCGACCGATCTGCCTCACCTGGGAAGAGCGCAATGATAATACCAACATGGGCCAGTGAAGTGACGTCCTCCACAACTAGACTGAAGAACAAAAGGACAGCAACTTGTCTATTCCCCTCCCCCAATTCCCCAATAAAATCTTAAAAAAAAAAAAAAAGTTGGTCTTCAACAGTGCCAGCAAAGAGCAATAGGGAGGTTGTGGCAGATTATCTCTACACTGTTAGACTTAGGAACTGCCTGCCCTTCATCTTAGAATGGATTCATAGTCCACAATTTACTTAGCTTTTCTTGAGCATCTCTCCTTTGGGTGATAACTACAGCCACTTGCCCAATAGCTATTTTGAAATGTACTCATTCTCTTTATTTGTTTTCAGACTATTTTGTTTAAATTCCAAGGGACTACTCTTCACTACTCTGAAATTGATTGCCTGTATGCTTTAGAAGTCAGTGTACTTACATACGTACTTGTTTGTTCAGCTCCTATTAAGCACCAAGTCAAAGCTACTGCACTCAGTGCTGTGAAGGGTAAAGGGGTAAACAAGACACAGCCATTGGCTACCGTGGGCATTGCTTCTGCCAGGAAAGATGCCCCGAAAGCGGGAGATGAGTTAGGAGCTACTGTAACAGCTGGCTAAGAGAAAAAGAGGTCTGTACTGGCAGAGGCAGAGATCATGGAAGTAAGAAAATAAATGTGTGTGATAAAGCAGATTACAATGTTAAGACTGACTCGGGGGAAAGACAGGAGGACCCGCAGAGGACTCTGGGTGCTCTTGCCTGGGTGGCTGGGACAATGGAGGGGCTGTGAACAGCAAAAGAAGTTCATGAGGACACCAGGTATGAGGTGAGGGAGCAAAGGCTGAGTTTGATCATGATAAGTCTGAGGTGCCAGCCAAACATAAAGGTGAACGTTTCTGGTGGGGATTTAGGATCATAATCATTTTTAAAAAAAAATAGAATTGACATATAACATTATTGTAAGTTTAAGGTATATGGCATGTTGATTGGATACATTTATGTATTGAAATATGAGTCATTATAATAATTTCTTATTACTATATGTCAGGCACCATGGGTGGTCAGGCTACACACCCTGGTGTAGGAGTCATACCTCCCTGAAAGGTAAAAGTTGAAGCTATACCTTCAACTGAGGTGAGAGTGGGTAAATCGCTGAGGGGACCGAGGGATAGTGACAAAGACCCCAGGGAAGACAAAGGCCTGTATTTAAAGTGTGGGAGGAAGAAACAGAGCTGATCAATGAGACAGACCCACAGCCTGGGAGAGCGAAAATCAGAAGAGCTCTGTGCTTTTGGGGTGTGTGTGTGGGGGTGCATGCCAAGAAACAGAGGGTCCCAGGCTGTCAGGGTGTGTGTGTGTTTACCAAATGCCTTTAGCCACTGAGAAGGACCCTGAAAGAACAATGGCTGGAGCCTTAGGGAATCTCAGTAACTCCTGAGAGTAGTGTGGAGAGGAGGGAGCCAATTCTGAGGTAATGAGGAGAAAGAATGGGTTGTTTGGAAGTAGAGGCAGGGGTGTGGCATCTCTTCTGTGAAAACAGGATTTGAGTCTTAATAGCAAGACAGGAGCTGGTACCAGAGCCTCCACAAGGGCTCTTGAGAGTGGATGGGGACCACAGAAAAGGGTGACATTCACTGTGTCTGCTTCTCGGAGGACCCGAGACAGAGGACACACTGCCTAGAGGACATCCAGGCAGTGAGTGGGCCCCCATTCCCAATTACCCAAAGTACTGGAGATTTAAATGATTGATTCCAAGTTTTCATTAATTTCACCAATTCTAAGTACAGTTTCTTAGAGAAAAGTATACAAATGTAAGCCCTACCCAAGTAGTCATCCAGAGAAAACTTGTCATTATCCCATATCTGAATGATCAGTCTGGGTGGCACCCGAAATTCAGTTTGGTCAATACTCCAGAAATGTTCCTAAAATAACAAGAGAAACAGACAAACGAAATTACACTGATTACTGGATTCTGAAATTCTCCCCTTGGAAATCCCCAGCATCAAGGCACGGGGCCTTCTCCCTCGTTTGCATCCCTACCCCAAAAACTCCTCCCCTGGCTCTACCCCTCCACCCCATGTGTAGGAAGTACAGTTGGGCTCCCCAAGACATCTCAAGGCCGCCAGCTGGGTGACAAAAAGATGTCCCAGGCAGTTCCCAAACAGACAGTTTCCTGCCATGTTCCTATTAGTGTGACTTCCTGCTACCACTCCTGGGGTGTGGGGAGTGATTATATCTCCCCCTGGAAGACCACTATGGCTTGCTTAGATTATCTTCCCAAAGCCAGGCTGTCCTAGGTTGGCCTGCAACAACATCTGCTGGGGTGTCACTTCTGCTCAGCCACCTTCTGCCCACCCACCAGACCTCCCACCCACCCCGCACGGATGTCTGAGCACACTCATTTCATGGGGGCACAGATTTTACTCTTTTATCAATGCAGATTTAAAATGTCTTGCTATTTTTGGCTTTTGAAATATATTGTTGAGTTTTACATGCTGTGGTCAACTAAGACCCCCAGATCCCTCATAATAGTTAGGTGGAGGGAGGGCTGAGTAGGGTCTTCCAGGTTCTCGCCTCTGGTTCCTGCCTCTGCCCAGGCAGTATTAGCTAAGATTAACAACACCTCCACAGCCTAATTACATCTAAGTTCCACTAGCCCCAGGAGAAAGGGAATTCCCCCATTGCTTCATGAATTTGAGAAGAGTGTAGGGTTGTTTCTTGTTTTTCAGATGACTTTCCAGAAATGTTCCCTTTTTGCAGGGCTCAGAGGGCCTGGTTGTGAGGGGCTGGGAAACCCACTTTGCTGTTGTCTGGCCCCACCTGACTGTCCTGTGTGGGGTCATGCTCCAAGTACCACTCAGGGCATGGGGAGGTCCAGCACCAGGTGCAGATAAATAGGAAAGGTAACGTAGGGCCTACCTTTCCCCACTCCCTCACCTTTCCCACCCGTGTCTGCCTCACATCTGAAAGTATGCATGGTTTGAAATCTGGTTGACCTCTGTGTCTCTAGAAAGTGCCCCTTGAAAACATTCATCTCACCTGGCACAGAAAAATGCTCACTACAGCATCAGCACTGAGTAAGGCTAGCAGGGGGAAGGGCCTGGCCTGATAGGACATGAGACAGGTATATTTTGATCAGATATGAGGAAAGGAGGACTGGGAAGAGCTAGGGGAAGTTTATAAAATGTAGGGGGTAGGAATAGGATGTAGAGGCCTAGAAAAGACATCTGTTTTTATTGCCTGGCCAGGTTTCAGGCCCCCTTTTTGGGATGAAAGCACCCAGATTTTTCTTGGAGATTCCCCTGTTCCAGTCCATGCAATTTGGGAAGAACCGACTCCATCCCTCAGAGCCAGGCCAATCAGCATTGCTTTCCTAGGCAGTATTGGTTGGTTCAGGGATGGTCACATGACCCCAAACAGGCAGAGACACTGAGGCCCAATTCCAAGAGTCTGCTTGGGGCCATTGGGGTTGTGTTCTTCTCTTTCTGCTGAGGCTGCTGAGAGGGCAGGACGTGAGCTGGGCTGCTGGCAGCCATCTTGCCTCCCCCCGGGGAATGAAACCCACAGAGGACAGGGCAGAGGGGAAGAGAAAGTGAGAGCGATTTCTAAATACATCACTTCAACCTGGGGTTCAGGTGTTCCGTAAGCCAGCCAACCCTGGACTTTTTAGTAATATGAACCAACAAATCAATTTTTTGGTATAAACCAGTTTGAGCTGAGTTCTGTAACTGAGAGTCTTATAAATTAAGGCAACCAGGGCCCTGAACCCTCACGGAAGTGCTTCTGAAGGAGGGCAATTTTACCTGCTTTAATATTTTGCCTCTGTTTGGTTAATTGGTCAAACAGTTCTGCTTATCACGGGAAGAACTTGATCTCCCTGTGACATAAACATACACTTGGGTTGTTGTATGTATTGATACAAGATCCCCCATGTCTATCTACCCTTTGTCAATCCTTTCTCCTGCTGCCAACATATTAGGGGAAAGAAAGTTGTGTTCCTTATCCTTCTCACTCCACCAATAGCTGTCGTAGCTCTGTGACCCTGGGCAAGTATCTACGCCTCTGTGGGTCTCAGGGTCCCCATCTGTACCAAGAGGGAGCTGGACTTAAGACTGCCAAGGTGCTGAGTGGCTCTGACATTCTCTCAGGGTCTGCATTAAGGAGGACCCATGACATCCACTTGCCACAGGCACATTTCAGAGCTCACTTTTTTAGCAACAATACAGAGTTGTTCAGCTGGGAGGTAGTCAAACGGGAAAACAAATCTCCAGTTAAAATTCCCTTCGCCATCCAAGGACCTGTAATGGACATCTGTTTTCTGTTTGTTTTCTTCATTGCCAGGAATCCAGCTGAAAAGCAGAGGCAAACAGACTTAGCTTCGTGTGATTGACAGGTAATCTAGCCGCAAAATTGTGCAGTGATTAGGGGAGTGAAGGGCAGGAGAATTAATGCACTTTTCTTGGGCAGCTTCCAGTTATCTACAGAGCTAGGGGCTGATTTATGAAGAGGAGGTGCTCTGCTGCATTCAACATAGGTTGTAGCCAAACAAAACATAATTCCTCTAAAACCAAAGCAGGAAACCCTTTAGACTTCAGTTAACAGGGATAAGGTGAAATTTTCTGGAAAATATCAACAACTTAGCTTCTATTTTGGGAATGCTGGGGCTTGCTGGCTATGATTTTAGCCTTTGTAACTATAACTCATCAGTGTCTGTCATCACTGCTGATAGGCTCAATGAATATGAGTTAGTTCTAAATTTTAGCATTTCCTTTTCCATATTTTACTTAAGCAAACAAAACAGGCATGACTCAAGTAATCTTACAGCTTCCTTTTTTTTTTTTTTATTATTCTGAGAGTCACTCTGATCCTATTAATGAGACTAGCCAGGGAGATGTGAGCTGTTATTTCCATATGCATATCTATGAAAATCCATTTCTAGAAACAATTTAACATCTTAACTTTTGACATTTGAAAAATTTCCTTTGACTTGTACCTGGCACATAGCAGACATTAATTGAATACCTGTTGAAGGAATGAATGAATGAACTGCTCGGGAAGCAGTTGTGATATGTGCCTGCTACTGGGAAGACTCCTGGTTTGGAAGCAGGGGAACACTGGATTTTAGGCTGGTAAAGTGGTTGAGTGCATGGTTCTCAACACTGACTGCACATTAGAATCACATTGGAATCAACTGGGAGCTTTAAAAAATATTGATGCCTGGACCTCACAGACAGAGGCTCTTAGTAGGAGGCTGTGAACTTGCTCTGCCAGTGACTCGCTAAGCTTCATGTCCCATCTATAAGATGAGTTTAATGATATGTGCTCCCTTCTCATGGTCCTCATGAGGACATAATGCAAGATCATGGCTTAGGAGGGCCAGCGTGGGAAAAGGGAAATCTTTAACTCATGGTTACGACCATCTGCCACGAACCAGGTACTTAGTATGCCTTATTTTATTCTTTGCAACTCGTATGACTATCTCCATTTCACTGATGAGGAATCTGAGGTCCAGAGAGGCTATCTAACTTAAAGCTCACATAGCCACTAATGGACAAAATGAGTATAACTCCCAATCTGTCAGAATACAAAGTTTAAGCCTGTTCCTCTGCCTCAAAGACCATGGAGACTAGAAAGTCTCACATGCTAATTAGTGGTGGTATTAATATTAACCAACTACAATAGTTTTACTCCTTGGTGGTCAATTAACTGACTAGATAAGTTAGCTGAAAGATTTCTTTTGACAATTAACTTTTAAGCTTTTATTTTTATTTATTTATTTATTTTTTTAAAGATTTTTTTATTGGGTAATTGGGGGGATGGGAACAGTACTGGGGAATTAGGGGAAGGGGAACAGACAAGTTGCTGTCGTTTTGTTCTTCAATCTAGTTGTGGAGGATGTCGCTTCACTGGCCCAAGTTGGCACCATCATTGTGCTCTTCCCTGGCGAGGCAGATCAGTCGCCGGCCTCTGGACGGCCG